CTTTTTTCTTTCTCTCTCTCTCTCGTGTGCAAGTTAGGCTGCTGCTAGTCAGCTGTAGCTTTGGACGGCGCGCGGCACTTCCGCTTGCGCTCGTGAACAAAACATCCCAACCAGCCCATCCAGAAAATATGCCCAGGGGAGTTAAGTTGATCAGGAAAGCGGGGGAGCACGCAGAAGGCAAAGGGCGGGGAAAACCGTCCGATACCCCAAGAAAGGGGGTGATGGTGGAGTACAAGGAGGAGGAGAAGAAGGAGGAGGGCGACGTTGAGGAAGGAGGAAGAGTCAGTCGACAAGGAGGAGGAGGAGGAGGAGAAGGAGGAGAAGGAACACCTTGGCGAACCCACGGGTTTTTTTTCTAGGGTTTCGTGTGCCCTGGAGATCCTATTGAGGCCTCTTGGGGGCCTCTTGGGAGCCTCTTGGATGCCTCCTGGGCGCCTCCTGCGGCTGCGTTGGCACCGCTTGGGGCCCTCTTGGGGCGCTCTTGGGAGCCTTAGGGGCACTCTTGGGGCCATCTTGGAGGACATCGATCACACCAGAGGGGGCGTTCAAGTAGGACCGCTTCTCAGGAATCCCCAAAGTCGCCTCTTGGGTCACTCTTCGGGCGCTCTTGGAGCGTTCTTGGGCGGTTTGGGGGCCGTCTTGGGGCTCTCTTGGGGCCCTCTTGGGGCCATGTTGTGGCCTCGGAAGGCCATCGGGGGCGAAAAGGCGAGACAGTCAAAACACATTGGACGGTTGTCCTTAGATGTTGGAAACATGTTGGCCTCTTCGGGGCCTCCTTGGGGAGCTCTCTGGCCACTTGGAGCCGTCTTGGAGCGGTCTTGGGGCCTCTTGGAGCATTTTGTGAGCCATCTTGAAGCATCCTGGGATATCTTGAGCCATCTTGGAGCTCATCTTAGGCTCCACGAGGCGCTCTTGGAACCATCTTGGGCCATCTTGGACGCTCCAACCCCTCGCGGGACCCCCCGTCTAGGTCCAGGGGAGGGGGAGGGGAAGGCGTCAAGCTACCCACCCGCCCGCAATCCATCTAGCTCACCCCCACCCGCGCTCCCAACACGTAAGTAACATCCGAGCCTGACCATGTTCATTGGTTGTCTTTGGATGGACAGCTACTGGGAACCAAAGCCGACCCCAGGTGCGCGACGCTTGGGCAAGGTGCGCCACGCGTGCCATAGGCGCCACGCGCGCGCCAGGTGCGCCATGGTCGGGGCGCGTGCAGGGTGCGTCAGTTGCGCACGCGCACGTGACAGCACACATCGAGAAACATGTCGGCCCCCGCCATCCTTGTCGAAAACCAATGCCCATCACTGTGTCTGGTGGGCCCGCGCACAGCAGGCCACGCGCCACCACCCCCGTGGTCCCTGTCAAAAACCACTTGGCAGTGATCGCGGGATGGCCGCAGATGATCAAGATTCAGCCACGAGGTGCATGTTGTATTGTTTGTTGCCAGGGATGGTAACCCTGCGCACGGCAGGGAATATGCTGGCCCCCCGGCCGTCGTTGTCAAAAACCATACAAGGTGGTCGCGGGCCTCAAGAACATGACTCAAGACGTTGCCCCAAAGTGTACTTTGCATTGTTGTTTTGACAAGGATGGTGGGGGGTGTCGCATCGGGTTGGCCGCGCATGTTCCAAATGTATTTTTCTTCGACAGGGATGCTGGGGGGCGGGCCGTCATGGTGTCCTCATGGTTCCTGGTTGGACGCCGGTCGCCGGGGGAAGGGGGTGTACATTCATTAATAAAGAACAGTGATACACCCCTCCCCGAAGGGGAAGAGGGAGGGGTGGAAGAGGAGGCGCGCTAGACCACCTACGCACTAAAGGGCTGGTGGATTGGTTCCCACTGTGGGGTGGTTCTAAAGTCTTATCCCGGTTATTCGTTCTTGCAGAGACATCCCAGCAGCATCCTCCTAAATTTGCCTCGCGCCGACCCCAACCCCCCGACGCAGTGATTTTCTCACAAAGCGAGTCCGTGGAGGTCTCGACGCCTTCACTGGGGGCGGCTTCTCATCCCGAGCCGTCAAAGGCCGAAAGTTACAAAACAAGTCGACCTGTTTTTTTCCATGCTTGGGACGTCTGGGCCCCAAAACTGCCTCACGCTGAGCCCGCCGAGCCCGCCCTGCGGCCGAGGCGCTCGCGTACGCGGTCAACACCTCCCAGCTGCCCGAAGACGGGGTCACCGAGCGGAGGGCCCGCAACAGGTCGCGGGTGGGCCGCTCCTCTCGGCGGTGATCGGGCGGAGGAGGGCTTTGTCCCGAAGAGCAACAAGCAGATGCACAGATATACAGTCAGCACGGACAGCAAAGATGAGCAGCTGTCTGGGGATTGCCCCTGACATCCTCCCCCCTCGGCCCATCTTTGGCCACTTTCGCTGGCCGTGCCCCGCTCGACAGGTGTTGGCACGGCCGTCCAAGGCCCTTGCTTCCTTTTATATATTCGGAGCTCCGCTCGGACTCTCTAGATCTACGCTGGAGCCCCCCCAGCGGCGCCTCCGGCGCCGCCCCTGGCGCGCTTAGCGCGCCAGTGATGGGGTCCAGCGCCGATTCAAGCAATTCGCTTGGACCTCCAACAATTTATGCTCATCCCGTTTTTTTTTGCCCTAGAGGGGCATCCTAATTTTTGCCGACCCCATGTCGGGTGCACCTTTCGCCGCCCCGGCACGGCCTGATCGCTTCGGCCCCCTCTTTTCTTGTGTGTCTGGTGGGGAGAGGGGGGGGTATCCTGGGGCCTGTGTCCGAGGAGTGGCCCCCTGCCACAGTGGCTTGTCAGCGCGGGCGGGTGGGATCCACTCGTGCGCGGGGCGCATAGTTCACCACCCACCAAACCACCCCAACCCAACCCGAAGGCTCAGATTTACCCTCGATTTCCAGTGGGGGGGGGGGTCGGGAAACATCGAAAAAACACATGTGGAACCCTTACCCCCCCCAACCCGAAATTCGGGTCTTCGGGTTGGGTTGGGGTGGTCTGGTAGGTAGTCAATAGTGAGCTTGCCCTCGCTGTGAGAACATCGAGTGTCTCGGCGGCGCGCCGAGGAGGGAAGCGAGAGGGGGGCAGGCCGGCAGGCCCTCCCACTGAGTGGGACTTCTCGGAGGCCCTCCGGCCTTTGGAGCCCCCGCAGAGGGCCGCCTCCGCCTTCTTCCCTGGGCGCGTCGCCGGCTGCACAGCAATCCAGAGACGCCCGTGGGCGTCGCGTGGGCTCGGGCTTGGTGGGGGCCTCTGTGAGTGCGGGCTCGCCCTCGCCCGGACTGCCTTTCGGCGTCGCGACTGACTGTGCCTCGCCCAGATGCCCCTGGATGGGGCCCTCTCGGGCCCCAAGGGGGGCCTGCAGGGCCCGAGGAGTGCACCTTTCCTCCCCCCCCTCAGTCATCGCCCCCCATTTGGCGACGCGCACGCAGTGCTCGGGGGGGAGGGGGCGGGAGGCCGTCAACGTCGTTGAGATTCGCTTGTCGCCCTCTCCAGAACCCGGCGGCTGAGGGTCACCTGTGCCACTGTTTCCCTCCTTCGGTGTGCTCTCAATCGTCGTCCAGCACCCTGCCTCCATCACCCCAGTCCGGCGTCGCCACCACGACTCGACCTCTCTGAGTCCGTGATCCCCCTTGCACTCTGCGGATGGTGTCGTCATGAATGGCGCACGCCCTCACGAAGGGCCCTCGCCGCCACGCTGCGTCTGGATTCGCCGCGAGAGTACTCGTTCGGGGGCACGTTTTTTTGATGGTGCGTCGTCGACGAGGAGGAGGAGGAGGAGGAGGAGGAGGAGGAGGAGAGGGAGGAGGAGGAGGAGGAGGAGGAGAAGGAGGTGCAACAGCAGGTCCTGCCCCACCTCAGCACTGTGATCGCCTCTTCTCTGTGGCCTTGCGGGCCTCTCTGCTTTCCCACTGCTCGGCTGCTCGGTTGCCTTTCTTTTGCTCTGCGACTGCTGCAATGTCATTGTGATTGTTCGTGACTGAGCTGCGCCGCCTGAGCCGTTCGCACGAGTAAAAAACTGCGGCCTGTTGGGGACAGTCAGGGCAGTGTAAAAACACAGGAGACAGAGAGGTGGATGAGCGAGTGAATGAATGAGGCGTTCTGACCCGAGCGATTCCCAGAACATCTCGCGATGAGACCGCCAGCTAGAGGAGGGAACGGAGGGATACCCAGAAAGGACAAACCACACCAATCCCCTCAGCTAGCGATAGCTCCACAGTCCTTAGCGCTTACTGGCTGCTTCCTTCCGTGGACTCGCTCACTATCGAGGGCCTCGCTCCTAGGGTTTTTTTCGTATGAGGGCGTTTCTTATGCACTCAATGCACTCTCCTAGGAAAGGAGATCGGCACCACACAAGCATACTTTAAGTCGGGCCCGTCCCTCTACAGGAGGAATATTCAAAAATAGCCAAAAAATAGTCTGGGGACTATTGTTTAGTATGTTCTGACAGTTTTGGAGCATGTTTTGCGTATGTTATACTTCTCGTCACAAATCCCCCTGCAGGGGGACATGCCCGACTAGTAGGTCGACCCTGCCACATCAAGGGTATCCTTGTGTCCCGTGTCTCGCGACCCATGCCTCCTGCATTCCTATGGCAATGTGGCCCTCGGAAGGGTCTTGTGTCCTCTCGCGTGTCCGTTCCAATCAAGGCCGACTGTACGCCCTTTAGCGCCCCAGGGGAGGACCAGGAGGTGGCGGCGTCCGCCGGAGCTTGCGCCCAGCCCCCTCACGAGAGGCAGTGAGAAAGGGCGCCCGCGCGCGGGCGATTCGTGGGGCTCCGCGGCCCGCCGGCACCGCCAGGGAAGTCGCGGTGGTCCACATCCTGAAGATGCCCGACGGGTCCTCCACGCCCGCCGGCAGCGCGGAGCTCCGGCTGACGGAGCGGTGAAGGGGGCGCCCGGGCCAGAGTTAGGTCGGGCCTGCCCCCCTACAGGGGGATTTTCGGCGAAAACTAAGAAACACACCCAAAATACACCAAAATGGCAAACAAATGCTCAAACAATAGTCCCCAGACTATTTTTTGATTTTTTTGGGGGGTATTTTTTTTTTTCGGTGAAAATCCCCCTGTAGGGGGACAGGCCCGACTTAAGGCCAAAGGGACGAGAAGCAACGCTCAGGCGGCGCTCATGCAGCAAAAACTGGGGGAGCTGTGGTCCTTACCCCCCTGGGGGACCCATCTATTTCAACACCCCTCTCGAGAGATCGTCGATGCGATGGGTTCCCCCAGGGGGGTAAGGGCCACAGCTCCCCCAGTTATGGCTGGTCGGAGAGGGACGAGAAGCAGCGCTCATGCGGCGCTCCCCAGGCCCAGGCCTCCGAGGATCTGTTTTTTTGTGTGCAGTCCGGGACTCATCTCGGACGCGGACTGCATAGACCCATCTCGGAGGATGCCTATAGGGACCTCCAGGCTCTCTTGCCACCCCCCCTTGCGGCCAGAGGCGACGGGCCAAGCACAGATGGCCGAGGGCCGCCAGAAATTTCGCCTCAGCATGTTCAGAGCGCATGCGGTCAGGAACACTTGTTGAAGTAGTGAGTCGCGCCGCTGGCTGTGGTCCACCACGCATCAGTGCGACATGCTATCAACTTACGGGGTTCCAAGCGTCAGCGTCACGAGCCTGTCCCAGCCTGCCGCCCCGCGAAGCGGAGCGACACGCCATCAGCCCGCAGAAAACAGCGTGCCGCCGGGGCCGCCGCCGCGAGACACGAAGCACAAGCTGTTGACCGCGTCCTGAGCCAAGCCGCGTCATGACGCTGCTCTCGTCCTACAGCGGGCCCCCGAGGGGGGGGGGAGGGCGCAGCCACGGCGCACCGGAGCGCAGGCCCGCACGCCTGTCGTGCAGGGAGCGCGGGCCCAGGCCGACCTCCCGCTGTGTGGCGTCCGCCGTGCGCGTAGGACTACGACGTGGCCGCCTGCCCCGCTCTCCGGGTCCTTCCCCAGGGCTCCGACGATCCGGGTGTCATGAGCCGTCTCTTCGCTCTCCGTCCTCGGGGGCCGCTGCCGGGCCTGCGGACAGTCCAAGGTGGGCCCCAGGGAAAAGGGTTGGCGCGAGGAGGCGTCAGGACCTCGCTGGCCTCGCACAGAACAACACTGAGATTGTCGGAGTTCTGGGTCGCCCCTGCCCGGCTTCTCTGCGTCGAAATTTGTGTGTTTCAGTGGGGCCCGGGGCTGCCCGTTCGTCCAGGATTTGTTAGCCCCGCGCCCGCGGAGCCCGAGAACGGCGAGAACGGTCCCCGGAGACCCTGAATCTGAGAGGCAGCAGAAAGCTCACCAGTGCTGTTCCAAGTCGTTGCAGGTCGGAGCCCTCAACGCCCCCGCCCCGACAAGAGGCGTAGCGCGCACCGACGCGATTACTTCCGCGCGTGGCGGGCCCCGACGGTCCTGCGGGTGGGGGGGATGGGCTCGGCGTGCAGATCACGCCGTGCCAGGGGGGGAGGGATGTGGAGACGGAGAAGGGTGAGGAAGGGGGAGGAGGGGGAGGAGGGGGAGGTCGAGGGGGAGGAGGGAGAAGAGGGGCAGGGGGAGGGGGCGGGGGAGGCGGAGAAGGATGACGTTGTCCCCCGCCTCCGACGTCGCGTCTCTTTCGTGATATGCGCCCCACGGGTACCGACCCCCCAGACACCCAACGTCGTCATTTGTTCAAGGGCCCCTTCCCGAGGCCCGGCTGTTCATTCTGAGCAGTTTTTTGACGGTCTTGGGGCCCGGCGAGGGCCCCCCAGGGTCGGAAAATACGACGAAGTTCGCCATGTTAGTTCGCAACGCGAGAGCCCTAGGATCGACACCTTTCCCAGGGTCGGCCCTCATCCCGGGTCGTTTCGCGGCGGCCATTGGCAACAGGTAGGGGGTAGCGGCGCCTCCAGATGCCGAGGCCGTCAACAGCAGCAGGAACAAAAACGGCCGTCGCGAGTTGTTTGCGCCGCCCTGACCTGAGGGGTTCATGTTCGAACGGGGCTCGCTGGTCTTTACCGTCGGGAACTTTTGCTTAGCGCGTTGCTCCGCCGGTTGTGGCCCACCACGCCTCGGCACGATGCTCTGACCGCATCCCGGTCGCCGAGCGTCAGCGTCCCCAGCTTTTCCCAGCCTCCCGCCCCGCGGAGCGGAGCGACACGCTATAGTTTGAAGGACAGCGCGTGGCCAGGGCCGCCGCCGGCACGACACGCTAAGCAAAAGTTCCTGACAGTAGGATCTTCCCTGATTGCTTCTCAAGCGTTCCTCGCGCACCAAGGTGGTCTTTCGGGGGGCCAGAGAATGGCTTCGTTCCTCTTCCAGCTCTCCTTTAGTAGTAGTTCGACTGTTAACTGTAAGGGCCCAGACATCCGACGTCGTGTTTTTTGGGGGCGGGGCTCCTCAGAGGTCTAGGCCCCTTCCCTGGGACCGGTTTTTCGTCCCGAGTCGCTTGTGGACGGTCCTGGGGCCCAGCGAGGGCGCGGACATTGACCTGGAGCCGCCCGCACAGCCAGCCGCCGAGCGCGGGCAGGCTGAGTGGCGGCCGCCTGCGGCGGGCCCTTGGCCGCGAGTGCAGCCAGGCGCTGTGCAAGACCTGGTGGAGGCGGCTGCTGATGTGGGCCCTCTGGCGACAGTGCCAGGCAGCGCCGCTGGCGTGGTCGGAGGGGTTCAGCGGCACCTTTAGCCCAGGCGGGGCTGGCCCATTGGCTGGAGCGCAGGTGTTGATGTCGGCCGAGCTGGTCCCCCGCGAGCCGAAGGCGGCGAGCATCGTGTCCATCAACGGCTTCTCTTGGGCCCACACGCAGACGGCCATCGAACACCTGCGCGACGAGGTGGCCCATGATGACCTCTTCCTGGCGTGGGACACTAGTTTCATGTCCTATGCGGCAGCCTCGGCGGCGCAGGGCTGGTGCAGGCGCAACGGGCTCCAGGCGTTGCTGAGCCCATGCAAGCGCGCGAGACTAAAGGCGCAGGAGGTCTCCTCGGGCGTGGGCATCCTGACCGCCAGCTTCCGCGGCGTGGCGCAGGTGGACCAGCACTGGGGCGACCTCTCGTCCAGGGTCCTGGTGCGTAGGGTAGCCGTCGGAGACCTGGTGGTGGTGGTGGTCCGCGTCTGCCCCGAGCACTCGGCCAGGCTCTCGGGGCTGAACCTGGACCTGCTAGGCACCCTTCACGTCTTCCTGAATGAGTCGAGGGAGCCCTTCATCATCGGAGACCTGGAGCCGCGGGAGCTGGCAGGTTGACTCGGCAGCTCGGGAGTTTTATGACACGGCTGAACAGCACCTGGTCGACCTCCACGGCGTCGACACTGGCGGCGCTCAGTTGTTATCGAGGACGGTCCCGAGGGGCCCGCAGGGTCAGGAAGTGCCTGAAGGACCTCCAGCGCACGGAGACTGCGAGGAAGGTGAGCCCCCTCACGCGGCTCTGGGTGTCGCTTGGCAGGCTTGCGCGGTAGTTGGCCTCGGCGGCGGCGGTGCTTGCGCCACCAGCAGGACATCGGGCTTTTGCGCAGCATCTGGAGGAGGCCGCCCTCTCGCTGGTGCCGAACTTCGCCCATCGCGGCTGCTCGATGTTCTCGGGCGAGAGCGCGCGGCTGATGCTGGAGGAGGCGTACGCGTCCACGAGCGCAGGCAGCTTATTCTTGGGAGCCATCGAGGCCGCCACGACCAACCACATCAGGGCGGACGCCCAGCTGGCGCGCCGACGCTGGACGGAGTTCGTGGGCGACGCATTGGGCGCCGGGGCCCGCGGGGCGCACGCGGCTAGCAAGCATGTGCACTCCGAGCTGCCTGGCGTCATGGGCGATGAGTCGCCCGAGTTGCCCCCTACGCCGTTGGTGGGGCAGGCTGCGCTGGACCAGACGCTGCTGGGCTGGAAGACGCTGCGGCTGAACAGGAGGGCCCCCAGCGAGCCTGAGCGGGCCCTTGGAGGCCGAGCGCCGATCCCCCCGTCGCGCTGGGCGGTCACCATGGACTTGCCCGCCATCACGGGAGAGGAGGTGCTGGCGGCTGCCCAGGGCTTCACCAGGAGGACCGCCCTGGGATGGGACGCCTTCCACCCCGGGCTGCTGCTGCTGCTGCTCAATAACCCGTTCGCGGACCGGGTGGCGGAGGTGCTCGCGGCCTGGGAGCGCGACCCCAGACCCTCGGCCCCTTCGCCACGCCGATGCGTTCCTGGGTAAGCCAGACGGAGGCTGGTGGCCCATTGGCTTGATGGCCTTCTGGCTGCGCCTCTGGGGCCGCATCCGCAGGGGCTACTGCGCCAAGTGGGAGGCCGACCGCGCTTTGCCAGAGATCTGGGGTTGCAGCTCCGACGCCAGCTGCGACAGGGCGGCCTACCTGCGCAACCTGTACCTTGGGCTGGCCAGTTCCCAGGGGTTTGAGGGCGCCTCGGTCTGTTTGGACACTAGTAATTTCTATGGTGGATTGATTTTTACCCATGATTTGACACATCCCACGCTCTTTCAAACATCCCACCCACCCACCCGCAATTTGGTTTGCAAAACCTCTTAAGACCGACTACGACGACACCGACGACAACGACTACGACGACACCGACGACGTCTCCGACGACTTCGACGACGACAACGACGCCGACGACGACGACGACGCCAACGAAGACGACGACGAGGGAGGAGGAAGGACGACGACTGCGACAACGACGACAGCGACGACAACGACGAGGGAGGAGGGAGGACGGCGACGACGCGAACGACGAAGAAGGAGGAAGGACGGCGACGCCGACGACGACAACGACAAGGGAGGAGGGAAGACGACGACGACAACGACGACGACGACGACGGCGACGAAATAGGAGGGACGACGACGAGACGCCGACGACAGACGACGACGACGACGAGGGAGGAGGAGGAAGGACGACCACGGCGACAACGACGACGGAAACGACCACGACGCCAAAGAGGACGACGACGACGAACACGAGGAAAGACAGAGGACGACGTAGGCGACGACGACGACGACGCGGGAGGAGAGAGGACGGTGACGACGACGACGACGACGACGACGACGCAAGAGCGCGCGCGCACGCTTTTGTTGAAAAGCCGTGTTGCGAAACTTTGAGTTTTTGTATGCTTCTTGGACACGATTCTGAAATCCTTCCGAAACCGATGGGTTTGGACGGTTTCCGGCATACGCGCGCGACGACGCGCGTCTGCGCTTCGTCCCATTTTTGCAAAGGGTTCTCGCGACGGCACACGCGCAAGGGCGTTCGACAGATTTCGACATGCGCGCGCGAATCCCGTTTAGTAACATGTTGTGAAACTATTGAAAAACCTATGGCTTTCTTAAGATTTCGCAAGAGTTCGCGCGGAAGCTTTTTTAGCAAATCAGTGTTGCGAAACCATGTGTTTTTTGTATGTTTTTTTTTGAAATCGATTGCGAAATCTCTCCGGCACCGAAGGTTTTTGGAGGGTTTCGGGGCATGCGCGCGCGACGACGCGCGCGTGTGCACTCCGTCCCACTTGTTGCAAGGGATTCGTGAAAAAGTGCGATGCTAGAACAAAAAATGTCACCGCATAGTTTTTTCACCAGAGAACCTCAGGGGGGGACCCAGGTTGGCCTGGGACATTGTGATTTCATGTTTACAATGGACATGTGGTCAGAATCGTATGTGATTTACATACCCGAAAGGGGGACCGATAATTATTTTCCATACCTAGGCTTTGCCCAGAAGGGTTCTTACCCTGTGGGCTTAAAGGGCCGGGCAGTGCTCCCCGCCCCGGGCGGTTCCCCCGGCATCCGCCCCGCGGTTCCCCCAGCTACGCCCTTTTAGCTTAGCGTTGCTCATCTAATCTTGGCTTAGCTTATTTCATCTTAGCTTAGCTTAGCTTCATCTTAGCTCAGGTCTATCTTAGCTTAGCTTACCTTCATTATAGTTCCGTTGAGCTTTAGCAAAGCACCGCATAGCATAGCGTAGCATACCATAGCGCAGCGCCGCATATCATAGCGTAGCCCAGCATAGCATAGCATAGCGCAGCATACCATATCATATCAAAGCACAGCGCAGCACATGGATTATCTCATCTTAGCTTAGCTTTTTTTTTTCATCTTAGCTTAGCTTAGATTCAGCTTGGTTCGGTCTACCTTAGCTTAACTTACCTTCAGCTTAGCTTCTCGTAGCTTCGCTGAGCTGTAGCATAGCAGAGCACATCATAGCATAGCGTAGCGTAGCATCGCATAGCGCATCACAGCATCTCATAACATAGCCCAGCATCGCATTGCATATCGCAGCATAGCACAGCATATCATAGCACAGCACATCATAGCATAACATAGCATAGCGCAGCACAGCACAGCACAGCATAGCACAACGCAGCTTAGTATAGCATAGCATAGCAGAGCATAGCTTAGCATAGCAGCGAAACAAAGGCAAAGCAACAGCAGCGACATCAAAGCAAAGCACAAACAACGCAAAGCAAAGCAAACCAAAAACAAAAGCAAAGCAGAGGAAAATCAAAGCAAAAGCAATGTGCGACAGATACCGAGCTAGCCTCGATGGCCGGACCAAAGCTCCCGCAAGCAGTGCCTTCCGTAACCAACGGATGCACACCGAGGAATTTAGCATAGCATAGCATAGCTTCACATAGCACAGCGCAGCATGACATAACATAACTTAGCATAGCATAGCACACCATAGCGCAGCATCGCATTGCATAGCATCGCATAGCATAGCGCAGTATCGCATGGCACAACGTAGCATAGCATCGCATAACAACTCATGCTGCTTTCCTAGGGGCTCCAACTTTTTAGGTCGGGTCGCGGTGGGTAATCTTTTTAGAAAAGAGAATCGACCACGAGCTGTTGCTGGAGGCGGCGGTTGCGCGCGACTTCTGCCCAGGGCTGGACAAGGCCCTTTGCGCGTCTTACGCAGGGCCCAGGAGGGCCACAGCGGACGGCGCCATCAGCGAGGAGCTCTGCGCAGCAGGCTCGGAGATTGCTGGGTGCTCTTGCGCCACCGCGATGTCTCGGCTCAGATTGTGCGACTTGCTGTTTCGTAATCGCGCGCCCCCGCCTGTCGGGCGGGTGGTCAACGTGATCGACGATGTGGAGGGGGCACGGCATCGGCACGAGGCGCGTCCTGGTGCGCCAGATCGCCCAGTTCGTCTCAAGGGTGGTGGCCATGCTGAAGGACAATGGGCTGTCCGTCAATTGAGGCAAGACGAAGGTGCTCGCCTCGCCGGCCGACCTGCAGCGGGACCTCCTGGGGCAAGCTGGATGGCCGCTGCCTGCGGGTGCCTTCGCGTCGGGGCAAGGCGACCTGGGCGGCGACGCAGCGGCTGGCGGGCACTGCCGCCAGACGACGCAGGTGACCAGGGAGCTAGCGGCGCTTCGCCAGGCGACGCGCCTGAGACGCATATTCGGCCATGGGCTGAGGCAGGCCCCCGCGATGAGGGTTGGGCTAACGGCAGAGGCGCGCTCCGGGGGTCGGCGACCTCAGGCGCGCCGCCAGGCCGCGCGCGGGCGCTCCGCGCGGCGGCGACAACGAGCGCAGGGCGCCTGCCGCCAGGAGCCGCGCTGAGCTATGCGCTGCAGTGTTCACCTCGCGGCTGGAGGCAGGTCCCGCTGGTCGTCGCGACGGGCGCGGCGGTCCAAGCCTACGGCAGCGCGGCCTGGGCTCGGCAGGTCTGGCCAGCGGCGATCAAGGCCTGCTTGGGGGGCAGCGGGCGCCTGAAGAGCAACGGTCGTGGTCGGCGGTGGGGGGCCTCGTCTTGGCGCCACTGGCGCTCGCCTCGAAGCGCATCGGGTGGCAGCTCGCCGGCGAGGGGGCGCTCGTGCGGGACGAGCAGGGCTGCGAGTTCGACGCGCCATCCCCCTGGCGGAGCGGGCCCGCGAGACGACCGGGAAAGCAGCGGCGCTGGGGGGGGGCTCTCGCCGCCGCCCTTCTGGAGGCCCGTCAGCGAGCTCCCGGGCAAGTCTGTGACCGTGACCTGGCCCGGCCACCGCAAGGGCCGCTTGCGCTGGCTTGTTTCCTCGGCGCGCTGGCCTGGGTCGCCAGGCGCGAGGAGGACATCGGCCCCGCGCGCCTCCTCTGCCAGGCTGACGCAGGCGCGCGGTCTTCGGCACTTCGAGCGCCCAGCGCGGCAGGCCCGGCGCCGGGGCAGGCTGCCCCCAGACATGCAGCTGGCGACAGGGGCGGCGCGAGATATGGGCCCGAATTTCGGCGTGCTGTTTGGCCGAGGCTTTCTTGTGGACGCATCGGCCCTGGCCCCAGAGACCGAGCTGGCAGGGGGATTGGGAATGGAAGCATATTGGCTGGGAATGAAATCTAGTGGCTCTAGATGGCGCGCTGGTCTTCACCGATGGCCCCTGCGCGCGGCACCTCCCCCCGCCTGCAAAACGCGGGCTGGGCCGTCGTCGCGACGACGGCGGGCGGGCGCGCGCTCGCCCAAGCGCGGGCAGCTGTGCCGCCGCAAGAGCTCCCATCTCAGACTGCGCGGGCTGGTGAAGGCTACGCGGCGGTGATTGCCCTCGCGGAGATCGTCGGGCCCTGCGAGATTCTTTGCGATGGAAAGGGGGCGGTGGGCGTCATCCTAGACATCCAGAGGGCGCAGGGCCCCGCCCCCATGCCCGCCCGCCAGTGGGCCCGCGTAGGGGGCGCCCTGGATGGGGTCACGGCCAGGCGCATCCCGGCCGCGTGTCGGAGGAGTCAGGCGCGGGGAGATCTTTGCGTTGGAGCGCGACGGCAACCGCTTGTCCGACCTTCGGGCCAAGCAGGGGGCTGGACTCCACGCTGCAGCGGATGACGATGCGCGGGTCCTGGAGGGCTCGGCGGCGCGGGCGCGCGACGCGGCGCGCTTCGCTGCGGAGGTCGAGGTCCACGTCGCCGACGCTAGGGCCCGCGACTGCTGGCCCACCTTGGAGGACTTGGTCTTCGACGACCCCGTGGAGAGATCTACGACGAGACCAACGCGGCGACGGGGGGCTCCCAGGCTGGACGGCGGCGGCAGGGCTGGCAGCGGCCGCGGCCGCGGCGGCCTCCAGCGCGGCCCCCGGCGCGGCCAGCTCAGGCGCGACAGCCAGCGGCGCCGGCAGTTCGTCGGCGCGGAAGCGACCTGCGGCCTGCATCCGGCCTGATCGGGGCGACGCTGAGATGGCAGGCAGCGGCGGCGCGGAGGCCTCCACGGCGGTGGCGACCTTGCGGATGGCGGCGCGCAGGCTCAGGGCTGAGCAGGAGATGCAGACTCCTGCGGACGGCCCGGCGATGGCGGCGAGGGTCTTGCGTTGCTCGGCAGGAGAGTCGGCTCGCGCTGCTGGAGCGCAGGGCGCCGCGTCGTCTGGAGCCAGTCCGCTTGCGGAAGAGACGCGCACGAGAGGCAGGCCCAGCAGGATCATGACCGAGTTGGCGGAGGTCGCGGGGAAGCAGGGGCCCGAGGTTTGCGGCGAAGCTGGGCCTCAGCGAGGTGGGCTGGAGACTCGTGTGCGCCAGCCTCGTGGAGATCCTCCGAGGGCTATGGCGGCGTGCCAGCGCCGCCTCCGCCGCGGGCCGAGGGCGAGCCCTGGGTGGTCAACGGGCACCGGCTGATGCAGGGCCGGGCCCCCGGCGGGTCCGAGGCGCCGTTCCTCGTCTGCACGGCGTGCTTCGTGAGCGCCAGGACGCCCAAGATGGCGTGGAAGGGGCCCCGCGGTGCCTGCAGTGGGGCGGCCGCCAGGCCTCGGCAGGGTTCGCGAGCCCAGGCCAGGTCGGACCTGCAGAAGGGGCGCCCCCCTGGCTCGAAGCAGCCGCGCGGCAAGCTGCTGCCCCCCGCGGAGGCCATCCCGAGAAGCTGGGCGCTGAGGCGCAAGGTTCGGGAGGCGGCAGCTGCGCGGCGCAACCAGAGGAGCTGGCCAGTGCCAGCGTGGCGGCGCAGGCCGAGGCGCTGCCTGCAGCGGGCAGGGCGGCAGCTCCGCGGGCCCCGCCAGCCGCCGCCCGCTCCGAGCGCGAGATCGCGCTCATCGCGCCGCCCCTGGCGGCTGTGGCTCGCTCGCGCGGGCTTAGCGACCTGGCGCAGGCGCGAGCCAGGGGCCTGGCGGCGAGAGGCGAGCAGGCGGCGGCGGCGGCGGCCCGCGAGGGCGGAGGCCCGCAGAAAGAATCCCTGGG